AAAAAAAACAATAATTGCATTTTTTATTTCAATAACGCATGAGTAAACAGGGATATGAACGCAGATTTAATATAGGCCCATAGAATTACGGGGACCGGCAAGGATTTGGAAAGTCTGAATACAAGTCCTGCTTACACCTAACAAGTGCTGAAATGGGACATAACCAGAGGTAGAAAGGTCTCGGAAGCACTTGGGAAGAGGCTTCCCAAGACCTATCCAGTTCTGAACGGAAAGACCTAAGTAGAACTTGTCAGGTCCAATTATTCGACTCGGGATGATAATGTCGAGTGAAAAGTTGGGCTCGTCAGGACTAAGTAGAACTTGTCAGGTCCAATTATTCGACTCGGGAAATTTGTCCAATTATTATTGGTCGAGATTTCCCTAGTAAGAAATGAATGAAATTCTGCGACATTGAGCCTAAGTGCCTATGCCGATAGCATTGAATGTCGCGCGCCAGCGCCGCCGCGACGTTTTTGCGCTGTGAAAATTCTACTAGGGTTGGGATTCGACGAATGGGCATTTGACTTTCAGCCGACATTTAGCCGTGAGTGGCTCGCCGACACTTGGCATGCCAATTCTATGCCGAGGCTTGACTGACTCAACAGCATCGGCAGTTCGGTCCCGGGTTAATCTGACTATCGCCGCAATGTAATCTCGCACGACGAACCCGCAGCGAGTCGACCGCGAGATTGGATTTCCACTAGGACCTTCCGAGTCACCCTAATTTCCACAAGGATGAAGGTTGCGAGGTGAAAAGCACCATCGACTGCCCCAGCACCCAAGGAAGCCAAATCCAATAGGAAACTCATTACACTCAGCTCTTCCGTTTCGTCACCCTAACCTCATGACATTCCTCACCACCGCCTCCTCTTGCACGTGTCACCGGGATTTGTTTTTTCCCCCCGTGCACTCGAGTGATGCTCCACCGGTCCTCCAATTATTTCCCACCGAATGGCAGTCCCGCTGAGCGATCAAATTAATGTCAATAAAAAAAACCTTTCACGATGGAAAAAAATACGCATCAAACGAATAGATGAATATTCCATGAAAAAACAATGAAACTGGGGAAAAGTGCATTTTTTAAAATTCATGGAAACGAACGAACTACGGAATATTTTCCGGTAGACAAATAATTCACTGCATTTCAGTTGAACCCTCCCCCCGCCCATGACGGTTTTACAGACCCACTGGGAAGTTTCCCACGACGCATGACAAATACAGCGGAAGCCTGCGTGTAGCCAACTGTGACAGCAACTGCCGGAAGTGAAATTTCAAACTTGACATCGAGACCAACTCCATTCTCTCATTGTTTCATTTTCCATTTATCTCGCATCGATGGCTAATAAAGAATGGAGGACGAAAAATAGTGGAGATGTGAGATTTTTTACGGGGGGGGGGGATTGTCAATGTTGTGGAACGCTGGAAATAAATAAGTGAGTTGAGCTTGCGGAAAGTCGTTGGGGTCTTCTTTCATGGGTTTTATAACCCGTCGTCGATATCGCGGACCATTTATCAGAGCATGTCGCGTTGTTTAGAATAAACGGGGAGATATTGAATATATTTTTTCAATGAGAAAAACATCTGTATTCATTTTTATTTTTATGCACGACGAGACAGGTTGGGTAAAAATTACCTAGAACATCGGCCAATACTACACGTATGAAAAAATGCTGCAAGATTTCCTGTCACACAGACAGTCTCTCCAGGAAGAGTGACTTCATAGTTTAATAATCAAGTAATATAGTTCAGTAATATGGTCGTATTTGGTCTCATCGGTCAAATATCTAAATTTGGAATTAGCTTGTTATCTAAAAAATGACATTTCAATATGATCAAATATTTTACTCGCCATCAATCCGAAAAAATTTAGTTATTAAATTTTATAATATTTAAAATTTGTTAAATATAGTTAAAATTTATTGGTTTCGTGGAAGCCAGGTAGATTAAATAAAAGACGTTTTATATGAGCAACTGAAGTTTTATTAAGACGTGTCCTCACTTCGAGATCAGTCGAAGAACTGAATAAAGAATGATGGAGTCCCATAGCAACGACACCATGGTTCTTTCTTTCCAGGCTTAGTCATTTGTTTATATTATTTAATAAACATTCGTTTGCAGTTTCGTTGTAAGACCACACAGACAGTCTCTCCAGGAAGAGTGACCTCATAGTTTAATAATCAAGTAATATAGTTCAGGAATATGGTCGTATTGTTTTTGCTCATTCCAATAAAATTTAAACAATGTAAGGAGATAATCCTTCTTAATATTGTCAAAATCTAATATTATTGGCCATCACTGATCAGTAAGTATTGTGTTTGGAGGTAACAATGGACCACCTGATAAATCTTCTCCCACGAAAATGATTCCTTTGCAAAAGTAATTATTTCTTCTCGGTGCAGCGATAAATACTCAATATAACCTACATGTTTAACAATTTTCTCAGTTACCCTCAACTATCAGATAGTACAATTCAAAGCTGCATCACCTCTTATTTTATTGACAATCAAAATCAACTGATCCCCAATTCGAAATTCGTAAACGAATGAAGTTATAAATAACCAATTCCCCGAAAACCAAAATTCCAGCCTGTTCCACGAGCACTAAAGCAAAAAAAAAATACCCAGGACATTTCCACTCTCGCACGCTTTACGACGGCCGTAAACATTGGTTTGCTATCGATTGACCGATGAGATCTGGCCTTTTGTATGGACAAAAAAATACAAGTGGACCAGGATACCCACGCCGAGCCGTAAAGTAAATTCCGCCGGTTTATTTAAACTCGTGTACATCCAAACTATCCACATTCATGATAACGTCCTGTCCATTGACCCACCCTTTTTCAACGGTTTGTTGTTAGATTTTTTATTCTATTTATTCTTTCTGTTTTCACGTTCGCACGACACGAGTTAAGCCACATTCAACCCCCTGATACGTTCATAAAAAAACAGTGTCCTATTTAACGCATTATTTGCAATTGAAAAAATGTTACGTTTATTTTTAGCCGTTGAAACTTTTCAATCAAACACTGAAAATTTCGGGCTTTATATTATGTTTTGAAGCTATTCGACAATATTTGCAAACCTCGATAATTGACGGTGAATATGTTCCCGATTAAGTTCCTCTGTCTGCACATGACGAAACGAATTTCAATGCTGAATGAAAAATGTTTGCTCAGTGCGTTTGCAGCAAAAATTCTCATATTTGGTCAGCTTTGACGATATCGAAAAATAGAGACGGCTATTTGATTGAAGAGTGATTGCACAAAATTTGACTATTTCATTTCCGAGGGAAAAAAATCCAGGGTTTTTTTATGGGATTACCCGAGGGATGAATTTGGCTTGAGGGCAAAGGAGTAATAATAATTCCATTTTTGCATGGAACTTCCACATTGAGATATCATTTTCCGGCGTATCGATATGTCAGACAACTTATCAACTTCTAACCTATAATAACCTATAATAATCTATAATAACGTCTAAACGAAACGAGAAATGACATTTTCTTGTCTCGTCTCGACATTCAAGAGATATTTTTTCTCATGTCTCGTCTCGTCCCACACGAAAAAAATAACAGGAAAAATAAGGGTCGGAAAGAATAAAAGTCAGGAAATATGAAAGTCAGAAAAATAAGGTTCAGAAAATATACGGGTCAAAGGAAATGAGAGTAAAAAGTAACGGTCAGAAAACATGAACGTGTTGTTTCTAGTCTCATTTCTATCGTTCTCTCGACCAACTTTTTCCATCTCGTCTCGTCTGCTCATTTCTATCTCGAAACGCTGACTATCCGCGAAGAATAAAATTGAACAACTGACGAAAAATTATAATTTCAGGGTTCCTGAACGCCAACACAGATTCGCACTTGCGTTCGCCAGCAAACTACGGTCTGATGGATCAGATCGCCGCGCTGCACTGGGTCCAAGAGAACATCGCGTACTTCGGAGGTGACCCTGGGAATGTCACGTTAATTGGTCATGGGACTGGGGCTGCCTGTGTCAATTTTCTTATGACGAGTCAAGCTGTGCCTGATGGTGAGTCAGTTCATTGAAAAAAAATTTATTCTTGTCCAACAAATTTTTTTCAAACAAGCGAACGCTAAAAAATCCTATACACCATCTCCAGTTGAATTCATGTCTCGAACAAATTTATTTAACATAAATTGTTCCTCAGTGTGGTCTCGAAGCTTACTTCATGTTTAGCAGCTCTTGAGCTCGATGACTGATGTTTCACTGCTCTGCTTCTCGTTTTATACCTTTCTAAAACGTAGTGGGGGAAATGTCGAAGAGTGGGGACGCCGCAGCGCTCCCGGCGGCATTTGTGCACCAATGGCAGTCGGTAACTTTGATTTACCGACCCAGGGGCAACCACAGACAATCATTTTATGCAGAAACGTTACTGAATAAAATGATGAGTGGGAAATCAAGTTTTGTTTGAATTGAAATAAATGCTATTGGTGAGATTATCTTTCTCATCATCTAATTTTCGCTATTTTTACTTCGCCTTTTTGAAAATCTGACGTTAAACCTCTTTTCCTGGGCTCCAGGGTTACTTGTTGTCTTGGTCGAAACTTTTATAGCTCGGGGCCCCTTTTATTGTCTCAAAACCTCTTTCTTTTATTGGCTGACTCGTAATCCGCCATTTATTGGTCTACAAATTGACCGAGGCACGCTTTATGGGCGTCAGTGACAAGAAAATATTGGCAATGGGATTTTTCTCAAACCAAAATGGATGAAGTCATTTGTAAGTCATTGTTTTTTGAGTGATGTAGCTCTCAAAAAGAAATGAAGGAGAAGTAATCGAGAACACAAAGAGAAGATTACCCAATTCCATCCCATATGCCTCATTTATCCGAGATTTCTTCACCAGAAAAACCAAAAAACAATGGAGAACAAAAAACCTCACGAGTTTCACAGGGCTGGTGCATTTTTTCCTATATTTATAAAGTTAGCCCGAGGAATAATTAACGCCAGGTCACGTTGGCTCTCCTGGGTGGAATCAGGACGTTAGAAAGGCTGTGAGAAAAGTGGTAAAATGGTTGTAGCTAAAAGAAGGGGTAAAATTGACCACGAGAATATCCGAGATTGGAGTACCTGATTTAGATGCTATGGTACTGGGGCGAAAATGAGCTTGAGAACGGCGGAAGAAAAAACGGAGAAACCCGCAGGAAAAAAAGAGAAGTGGTTGTCGAGGGAAATGGAGGCAAGGGAAAATAAAGTGGTAAAAATATATGAAGGAGGAGAATGATGATAAAAAAAATGTTGAATGGTGCACCACGAAAGCTGTCAACACTCGCACGGAAAAAAGTATACTTTGAGACATATATTTTTTTGACGTTTTCCCATCCGGGTGTTTTCACTGGCGAGGCTTTTGGGAGAGGTGATGATAAAGAATAAATGAGAAAACAAAATTTCGAGCAAAAATTGTGACTCCAATAAGACTACTTACTCCCTGAAAAACTCCCCCTCCGAGTTTTATTGTTGTTCATCCCAGTGCGCAACTTCCGGCGTCTCCCCAGCATGTCTCGGAAGTGAAGAAACAGGGAAGAACGATCTCGGGATCTCTCACTTTACCCTTTACTAACAACACACCTCTGTTTCCCCTTTCACCGTTTTCCCTTCACGAAGGTTTTTCTGTCCTCAAGTTGTCGTTGGCCCGGGGGTTATCGTCGACCGGAGAAAATCGATGGACAAAAGTGCTAAAGCGTTTCCGTTGAATGTTGAATCTGGGGAAGAAATAGAGAAATGAGAGAGAGAAAGAGCACGCGGAAATTGCTTTCAGTCTTTATTTTTCCTTCACTGTTGGTTTTCGTTGGGAATAAGGTCATTGGGTAAGTGTGAAACTTCACTCATCGATCGAAAACGAGATGGTTGTGGTATCATACAGCTGTCATCACGAACTGTGAAATGACCCCAGTAAGATTAACGTGTCTAGGTAACTCCACCATCTTGGAATATTCAACCGTCAACTTCAAACATCGACAGTGCTCATCTCTCGAATCTCAGATCCACTATAGTTTAAATGGGGTTAGTAGTTGAGATAGATCAAGAGTGTCAAGGGGTAGTTGAGACGATAATTCCTTGGGTAGTTCTCAAGGGAAACGTGACTAGATGTGGCTTCGGGTCAAGCGATTTCCTCGGGTGTAATTTATAGTCCACCAACACCAGCATGAGACTATTACTCCTCTGGCTCCTATCACTGGCCTCAGTGTATTTTCGGGTATATACACCCTAGGACGCAAGCTTGCTTCCTCATCCCTTCACTCCCTTTATTCCTCATCTTGTATTGCAACGAAACCCTAATATGTTGGTGGCCACAGACGGGTATCCATGAGCGAGCACGAATACGAGGGCAGAATCATTTGTCCTGTGTCGAACATAATCGTGTGAGGCGAGAAGACTTGTGGCTTGAGTTTAAATTCAAGGGGAGGATAGTTTAGACCATCCAGGTATCGTGTGAATTAACTTCACTCAGAGAAGATGAACGTGAGGGTGGAAAGATTATCGTGATGATGAACTGACTGGTCCATTTCGTTTGATGATATCTTCTAATTCAAAGGTTACGGTTCTGGAGCTACGTCGAAAAGGCTGAATCCCACCGTGTGGAAAACGCATTCGCAGTCGAAGGGATTGCACCCCAACCCAGCTATCAAATCATAGAAGATCCATGGAATACTGTAGCTTTGGAAACGTTCCCTTCACGTCGCAGAACAATTGCAAAGGCCTTATTGTCGAAACACTTGCAATATTGATCACGTTGGTTGGTGGAAAGTTAGGTACATTCACTTGAAGTTATGTCTTGACCGAAGTTGATATTCAGAGACTGCGCATACTGTGAATTGGCGTCACGTCAAACTTCAATAATGCTGAAGTCACAGAATCTATGGATGTTTGGAGTGTAAAACGACTGAACTGCTCGCTTCTTGTTGTCAACTAATGCTCTCAGACGAGATCATTATCTTTTCAGTGAAATGCTCAGTACAGATGAGGCGATTTGATTGTCCGGAATCTTCAAATAACAACAAGTCAACCGTCTAAAGTGAAGTCTTAGAATTCGTTGGTGGCCAAATTTTCAAATGGCTTTCGTTTGTCAATCGTTTCTATCAACTAATCCTCTCAGAAAATATCGTCACCTCATCAACAACATTTTATATTGAGGATCAGAATTCATTTGATGAGATTTTCCACCAAGCACAAGTCAATCCTCCACCAACGCCTTCGAAATACCCTTACGCCACTTCCATAAGCCAAAAAGGTTCGAATCCTCCGGCCAAATCATCAAACCCTCAACGAAAATCCAAACCCCTCGCAAATAGCCAGATTTACATGCATCTTGCTTGACTTACACACCATTGTTATGACAAAACCGTACAAACTTTTCGTTTACTCGTTGTTCAATCCTCAGAACCTGTGGATGTTTGAAGTTAAGAAAGGCTGAACTTCCCGGTTCCTGTTATCAACTAATACTCTCAGACGAGATCATTATTTTTTCAGTGAAATGCTCAATAAAGATGACATGATTTAATTGGGTGGAATCTTCAAATAACCACAAAGCAACCGTCTGAAGTGAAGTCCTGGAATTGTTGATGGCCAAATTTCCAAACGGCTTTCGCTTCTCAGTCGTTTCTGTGACTTAATCCTCGCAGAAAGCATCGTTACCTCATCAATAACATTGTTGTTCAAGATCAGATCATCATTCGATGAGATATTCAACCAACCACAAGTCAATCCTTCACCAGTCCTCTCGAAATACCCTTCCACCACTTCCAAAAGCCAAAAAGATTCGAATGCTCCAGCCAAATCACCAAGCCCTCAACGAAAATGCAAATCCCTCCCAAATAGCCAGATTTACATGCCCCTTGCTTGAATTACACACCATTGTTGTGACAAAACCGTGCAAACGTTTCGGTTACTCGTTATATTCAACTTTGATGACCTCCGACTCTCCATCCGCCTAGCCATTGAACAACGATGAAATTGCCCGCAATGCAAATGCTAGCTGCGGTATAGATCGTTCCTAATACTGATTCTGTTTGGCTTTAGAGCAGGGCGGAGGGCGAGGGGGTTCAATACCATCACGGCAACACGACGGTGAGACAGTGGGGGGTGGAGGTACATCGTACAGGAGGTGGGTGTGTTACGAAAGGGGGTTTCAGGCTGTTGATCGTCAGTTGGTGCTGTATCGGAAGGACGAGGTAGTCACGTCGAAACGTAATACTCGAATGGGGAATTAATCTCTATCGGACCATGACAAATATCCAATTTCTGAATGTGTTTGAATGCCTCCTTGATGACGAATGAAGACTGAGGATAATTGAAGGAGAGGGATTGAGCGTTTATATTGTTGGTAGTTGTGATTAATTGATTGAAGATCAGAAGCTGATTGTCGATAGATGCGGCAGTCCGGGAAATTTCGATTTCCAGAGATTCGTTTGTGTTGCATAGAGAGGGAAATTGCTCTCTGCAGACAACAGCATGATGTGTCGACGTGAGAAAGATATCAAAAATGTCTGATCCTTCTGTTTGAATGCTTCTTGGATGGCGAACGAAGAGCTGATTATCAATAGTCCTATGCCTTCGAAAAATTTCAGTCTCCAGAAATCCTTTGTGCTACATAGAGACCAAAATTACTTCCTACCCACAACAGCATAATTGTCCAAAGGAAAATTAAGACTCCGTTAATGTCAGAATGAGGTCAGTGAAAGAATTGAATGAGTAATCTCGCCGTCAAAAAATTACGTCATTCCACCATTCTTTGCCAGCACAATGGGGTGACCCAAGAGGTATTCCACCAAAACTTGAGTTTATGTGAGCGATGGAGGAAACGTGTTGAGTGGCAACAAGAAAGAGGCGGTAATTGTACTGGTCTCGGTAAAATCTCCAGCCGTTGTTACCTCACACACACCACGATGTACCCCACAATTTCCAACAACGTCGTCGTTTTCAACTCCTTGTCGTCTTAATTATTCCAAATGGCTGGGAGTTCAAGCCTGCTCACTGTGCGACGCGGCGTTCAATCAACCGCGAAGATCTCCGCAGGCCTCACACCTGTTCGTTGGATTTTAGTGGTGCCCTGGAGGCTATCAAGGATATTCTTTGAAATGTTAAACTGGGTTTTTGATGTTTTAAAGACGATTTTTCTTTTTCTTTTGCAAGGCAACCTGTCTGAAATATTCTTCCACTACTTCCACAAGGCAAAAAGGTCACAGTCCTTCAGCCAAATCACCAAACCCTGAACAAACATGCACATTCCTTTCAAATAACTAGATTTACATGCACCTCGTTTGTATTATTGTCACAAAACCCTTGTTGTGACACATCCTCAGAACCTATGGATGTTTGAAGTTGACAGATGTCTGAATTTCTCGCTTCTTGTTCTAAACCAATGCTCTGAGATAACATCATCATATTTTCAGTGAAATCATCGATGAAGATGAGGCAATTTGAGCAGCTGAAATCTTCAAATCACCACAATTCAACCGTCTGAAGTGAAGTCTTAGAATCTGTTGATAGCCAAATTTCCAACAAGCTCTCGCTTGTTAGTCATGTCGATCAACTAACTGGTGCTCTGGAGGCTATAAAGAATATTCTTTGACACGTTAAACTGGGTTTTTGATGTTTTAACGACGATTTTTCCTTCTTTTTTGCAGGCCTATTGTTTCATCGGGGGATTCTCATGTCGGGAAGTGCACTCTCCCCTTGGGCACTCGTCAGAGGAGCTGCGGATTATGCTATGCAGGTTGCTAAGCATCTCAACTGCTCATCGGTGAGTTATTGAAGATTTTCAGAGGAATTTAATCATCTGACATCCATTCCATTACATTCATCCAATCCACTGAATGACTCATAATCATTTTTCACCGTGAAATCGCTGTAATCGGACCCGTAATCCTGTGTAATCGATTACCCCCTCGCCACTTACTCAACCAAACGTGCGAACGGGAAATCGCTTTCCCTAATTCGTCTCGAAATTACCCGACACCCCATCAAATTCAAATTAAACCGAATTATCTCGAGATTTTACTCAACGAATCTCGTCGCGCATCAATATTTCATCAGCCAGCGGGGGTCGTACCGCACCCCCGTAGGTGTGAAGTATCTAAATTCACGAAAACGAACTCGATTGAAATGGCGAAGAATCAATCTGGAATAACGATTGAATGACGCGATTAGTTGGATGTCGAAACGCTCGTGTCAACGCCCAACGAAGTGTGGAACAGACGAGAGAATTACTTTGTTTTTAACCCAATCAGCCTGTTGTTTGAATTTTTCAAAGCCATTTCGTTTCAAACCTCTCTGTCGTGAAATAAAACAAGAGGAATAATGAATAGATGAACAAATGGAATCGAGCGTTTTTACACAAAAATGTATGTAATTTACACATGGTACATACATAAAAAATTCAAGATAATGCAGACAGCGTCATTCTATCATTTGATTTGTGCAATAATTTCCAAAAAAAAATCAACACAATTAATTAAAAAAGAAATATGATTCAATAAAAAAATAATGTGCTACATGAAGACAAAAGCTTTCCCTACAATTTTTTTGTAATATGAACAAACGTTGAATCAAAATAAAAACTGCAGTAGTTAACAATGAATCATGGCACCTCACGACATCGCGGGGTGTGGGCGGAGGGGAATAATGAAGGGTTGTATCGCGAATATCACGGCGTCGCGATAACGATAGAGATGTTTCTGGTATTCTACGGGAATACGCACAGATATGCAGAGGATTGATTTCTCCCCCCGTTTGCCATTCATCGGATTTTCGCGGTACTCATGAGGGATGAGGACGCAAGAGGGAATTGTGGTGGGCGAAGAAGCGAGGGGGAAATGGAGAGGCAATAGTGAAAAAGGGAGTTGAATTGCAGGGGTAGCAGCAGAGTGCATACGAACGATCTCCAACTGGCGCTTAGCTTATTCAGCTCGCATTTTCGTGTTGCTGGTGAATTGGATGCCTCAATCGATACACATATATTTCAATCTTCATTCATACTGAATTGAGAATCATATATTATGGGTTACAATTTTACCAGGGGGTGTACAAAAAATTGTTTGGGCTCTCTTTAAGCCACACTGTCTCCGGAAATTGACTTCAATTGTTAAATTTCATGGAAATTGAAAAGAAAATAAGACCCATTTTGCCCCCCTAGCTTTAGAAATATTGGAGAAATCAATTTGATAGAATTCAATTGAATTTTTTTCACGTCCAGTGAAATTAATTCAATGAATCAGTAAACAAATTATTTTTTTAATGTAAACGAATGTGTCCCCGATCCAAATAAAGAATATTAGTATGTAATGATATTTTATTTGAATTAAATAAATTATTTGTTTCATGAAATGAAATTTTTTTATTGAAATTGGTGAAGAACTTTCGAATAAAAAATGTTATTTGATTAAAATACATGAGCTCTCTAGTTCTAATTATCAATCTTATCAGTTATAAAATGTATTCCATTAATCATCTCTGAGTTTATTGAGCCAGCGCATTTAGAAAGCCATTTGAGATGTTTGTCTTGAGAAAACAACAATTTCGGGGGAAAAAACACATTCATAATTGACAATAAATCAAAGCATTTCAAGACAATCCTGAAATCAATTGCGTAGACTTAAAAATTCGTTTCTCCTCATCCAGGGAAATTAATTTAATGGATCATCAAGTAAATTATTTTTCAAATGTAAACAAATGATTTCTCTAGTTCTAATAATCAATCTCATCAATTATAAAATATATTCCATTAATCATCATTCACTTTATCGTGCCAGCGCATTTAAAAAGCTATTTGACATGTTTGTCTTGAGAAAACAAAAATTTCGTGGAAAGAAAACACATTCACAGTTGACCATAAATCAAAGCACCTCAAGACAACACTGAAATCAATCGTGTATATAGAATTGAAAATTTCTTCTCATCCAGAGAAATTACTTTAATGAATTATCAAATAAATTATTTCTTAAATGTGAACAAATGTGTCGAAGCAAAGACAATTAAATCCTTCATTTGAATTCAATAAATTTGTTATTCCACCGAATGAAAACATTTTTATTGAAATAAATACATGAGTTTGTTAATTTACAGTGAAAACCCTATTGAAATGAATGAAAAAATTCAAAATAAAGAATGCAATTCGATTAAAATCCCAAATAAAACAAAATGATCAAAAAACATGATTCCTTTGGTTCAAATAATCAATCTCATCAATTACAAAATGCATTCCATTAATCATCTCTATATATCCCCTATAAATTTGCTTAATGCACTCACTTTATCGTGCCAGTGCATTTAAAAAGCTATTTGGGATGTTTTTCTCCCTCCCCGTAAATTCTTCGCAGGGAATCCCCGGGTGGTTTAAAGCTAAATCCGATGCAAACTACCGGAGTAATCTCATATCTCAGACGTTTTCATTCTCCATGGGATTTTATTTCTCTGCCCACAGGTTGCCCACGATCCCCAGTCATTGCTGCGATGCCTGAGAGATGTATCATTGGAGAGTATAATGTCAGTGCCAGTCAAGGGTCTGGCATTTGCACCGGCATTCGGACCGAGTATAGATGGTGTTGTCATTGACCCTGGGGATCCGGAAGATCAGGATTATACGCTACAAGTTGATACTATTAATACACTCAATAATATATTGCTCAGGAAGGATGTCATAGCGAAACTATCGAGGTGAGGAGTCATTGATCTTTCTATTGCATGTGTCATTATTTGTATTTATTAAAGCGAACGCGCGCGCTAATCTATGACTTCAGTTACTTGCGAGAAACTTTGTTTTCTTCATTCAAATTTCAAATGTATTAAATTTCCTATACTCATAAATGCATTAAAAAAAGGAATGGGTAATGAAACATTAATGAATAGTTTTGAATGTTTTATCAAATTCTTTTCATATATTGACATTGAAATTGAGTTGTTCATGTGTGTTAAAATTTGATTTTTTGTCAATTGATTTTGCACGAGTTCATTAACATCCAACGAAAATACTGTTGAAATGACCCGAACAATTTCAAATGAAGATTCATATTCAACATTTCTATGAGGTTGACTCAAGCATTCATGATTATTCTGTCAATAGACACGGGAATGTATGAACAGACGACACCAATTAAACCCGTTGATGAACATGTTCAAAATCATATATTATAATGCCAGACGAGTCGAATAGAGTCTCTCCCCGGTACCATTGTCTCGGCATTCGATGTGTTGATTGACGTGTAAATTACACTAGCTCGGTTTATAACAGCATGATAGTTTATCCTCGTTAATTAAGTCGTTAAGATCGAGTGGTGCGGGGTCTGTTGATGGATAAACACGTGGGAGTTTACGGGAGAAGGAGATTGGAGAATTCAAGTGGTAGAGGTGGCTTTTAGTCAGACGAACCGAGTAAAAAGGTGGTGAAATCACGGAGAAGTGTTGAAAGGAAATTGATGGAAGAAAAACAACCGGTGAATTGAAAATTAACTAACTATTTGCTGTCGTTTACTTCTTGGTGATGGCTTTCAGAGAAATTGATGCGAAATTAGTTCTGTTGGGAAATTATATGTTCCCCTGAAGAGTTCTTTTGTCGTATTGAATTAATTTACGGGTAGAGAAAAAAGAATTTTTCCACCTAAACATGATAATTTTCGTAGTAGTAATTGTTCTCATGAGACGTTTCAGTAGCGAAGTGGTAAAACGGTTTAAAGTAGCTCCCGCCTTCCGGTAAATTCAAAAATTATTGAAAACTGCAAAAAATTGCAGAAGACTCGATTAGATTCCGAATTCTATTTTTTTTCTCAATTTAATTATCGTTTTGGTTTTTCAAAGAAGAAATGTTTAAAAATCAGGATTTAACCCAGTGTCTTATGTGAAAATCAACATTTCCATTGTAATCAAAGATTAAAATTTGATTTTTTTTTTCATTAGATGTGAAAAAATCAAATTTTTTTTGATACCTCATAAAAAATTATCCACTATTTTGCAAACAATTTGCACTATTTTGCAAACAATTTGTATTATTCATTTATAAGAGGGAAATGTCAATATATTGCAAAATTAACTATCGGCCAGTTTTCAATGAATATCTCGAATTCTAAGAGAGGTAGCAAAATTTTTGTCAAAACATTTTCTGTAGAGCGAAGCAAGGGCTACAAAAAAGGTCATAACAAAAATTTGATTATCTCCCTTAGATTCGCAGATATTTCTCCAAGACTCAGCTATATGAATAAAACAATTAATTTTATCTTCAAACAATAACAACACAAAAAGAAAAATCGAACTAAAAATCAAATGGACGCTGAAACCCATATTTTGTATCCTGGAAATTCAATCCTGCTATTGCATAATTGCCTGATATTCCTTCACTTCTAAAATAAACCATTCCGATAAAACCACGAGCTAAAAACAACACCCCATATTATTTTTCATTATTTGCATGAAAATAATTCTGATATTAAACTAAGAGATGCAAAAAAAAACAGGAAGTGGAAGCAACATTCAGTGATAACAAATCAAAATAAAGATGAAAAACCTATGAAAATAAAAATAATCCAAAAGCAAAAATTGAAAAAGAGAAATATCCCCGGAACTGTTACGACCGAACAGCGGATGGAAACTAACTGCCGTCATTTGCCCGGAGAAACAAAAACCGAAATATTGTCATAGGCCGTAACCATCTCACCCGAGTGTTCTCCCCCCATTATATATATATATTTTTTTCACCATCCCCAAGGGTTGTTCCGCCGGTTAATGCCAAAGCCTCGACAAAAGTATCTGGAAGTATCTCGCGTTGGTTGTCGTAAAAGTTAATAAGCCCCATTACCAGAATGGTTAGAGTGCGGGTAGGGGCGAAGAGACACAGAAATGGAGAGAGTGGAAAATGTCTCTTGTGCAGCCGGAGTAAACGGAACTGAAATTAGCCGCACAGAGCAACGACTACTGAATATCCCGGGCTGTGTGGCCAAATACTCTCGGGTGGTGGTTGAAAAAAAAGTACACTCAAAAGGGATAAAAATAGTTGACTAGAATGAGTGCCTTTGATTCTTTGATGATGAACGAGATTCCTGGATTAAATGTTATTGAATTCCGAGGAATGAATATGAATGACTTGGATTCAATAACGTTTTATCCTTATCTGGCCCTTATGACTCTTTCTACGACCTTTGTTTGACCCTCATGGCCCTTATATATTTATCCAGTGAAATTTGACCCTTATCTGATCCTTATGGTTCTTTCTATGACCTTTATGTGAACCTCATGACCCTTTTGCGGCCCTTATGGGTCTTCCTATGACCTTTATTTGACCCTCATGGCCCTTACGAACCCATAATTGTGTGTATTCAATGACATTGAACCCTTATCTGACTCTTATGACTCTTTTTTAACGCTTTATTTAACCCTTATGGCCTTCATGAGCTCTTAATGACATTTACTCAATGACATCCGACTCTTAGATCTCTTTTTATTACTCTCACTTGACCCTCATGACCTTTATAAGCCCTTAAATATATTTATCGAATGAGTTTTTACCCTTATCTGATCCTTATGGTTCTTTCTATGACCTTTATGTGAACCTCATGACCCTTTTGCGGCCCTTATGGGTCTTCCTATGACCTTTATTTGACCCTCATGGCCCTTACGAACCCATAATTGTGTGTATTCAATGACATTGAACCCTTATCTGACTCTTATGACTCTTTTTTAACGCTTTATTTAACCCTTATGGCCTTCATGAGCTCTTAATGACATTTACTCAATGACATCCGACTCTTAGATCTCTTTTTATTACTCTCACTTGACCCTCATGACCTTTATAAGCCCTTAAATATATTTATCCAATGAGTTTTGACCCTTATCCAATCCTTATGGGTCTTTCTGTGACCTTTATATGAATCTCATGACCCTTATGCGGCCCTTAGCGGTCTTCCTATGACCTTTATTTTACCCGCATGGCCCTTACAAACTCTCAATTATGTTTATTCAATGACGTTTGACCCTTATGACCTACATAAGCTTTTAATGTCATTTAGTCAATGGCATCTGACCCTTATATCTCTCTTTATTACTTTCATTTGACCCTCTTGGCCCTTACGACTCTTATGACCCTCCTATGACCTTTATCACTAACTGTAATCAATTAAATCATTCATAATTATGCTATCACTAGATTCGAATGTAATTAACCCCTGGATAATACGAATTTGTAATATGAGAAAAATAGAAATTCATCAGAAAACTATGAGATGAGTTTTTTTTATTAGTATGAAATGAGTTGAAAGTGAGAAATGAATAGAAGACCGTTCGATTGGAATTAAATTTTAATCTTTGAATACCAACATCAAGCCTTGATATGGGGATCGAGCCGAAAATTTATTCATTCATCTGATGCTTCATTCGCGTTTCTGAAAATTGAGAATGAAAAAGTCAAGAGCGGAATTTTAGATCAGAGCTGAGATGAGATTTTTTCGGGGGTTCTCGTATCAGATTAAGACGGAAAATTGGATAAATTACCATTTTTTCGTTGATGAGATGAAATTTCATGAGAGGTCTTCAAATTCATGGAACACACGCCCATAATGAAGAGTTCAAACATCTAATTTTGATTGTAATTACGATAAAAAAAAGTAAATAGAGGACAACGGGATTTTTAAAAAGACTCTTAATTCAATGTTAAAAAAAGTACTTAAATAAATTGACTGGAATAAATCAAAAATTTATCTTCCGAAACAAAATGAAATTTATTTATCGTTGGATAAATAAATTGCAACACAAAAAAACCCCTAACCAAAATAATTAATAAAACTCAACAGGATAATAAAACTCAAGTCAATGAAAAAGCAATTAAATAAATTGAATTGAATAAATCAAAAAGGAAATTTCCCGAAATCGTTAGATAAATAAATATCAAACTAAAAAAATCCGTAACCAAAATAATAAGTAAAGTGCAACAGGATTAAAAAGCAACTTTCAATTAAATAATGAAAAATTAATAAAATAAATTGAATTGAATAGATAAAAAATTGAATTCCCCAAAATTGTTAGATAAATAAACAATCAAAGTAAAAAAAATCCCACCTAAAATAAACCACCAAAATTCTCGATTATCAACCAAAAAATCCACGAACAACCTCCAACCCCCGACTATTCTCCCCCAATTCTAGCTCCAAAAATCGTAGAAATATCCCTCTTCATGTTTTGATAAACAAACTGACTGTAAATATTACAGAATGGATGCTGAGGCCGGGGAATGAATTATTTCCCCCAGGAAAAAGCGGGATAAAGGGCCTCAGCGAAATAACGAGATGTACGTCACACACTGGCTGGCGCGCCGAGAGATGAGTTATTTTCAACGGTTTTGCGGTCAAAAAATTTAACGCCAGCGTGAACATTTTTTCCTCTCCCCCTCACCCCTTCCCCTCTCCACCCTCCGCCCCCATTGGTCCCCCCGGGGAATTCAGCCAGCCGCACCGGCTAGATCGGAACTATGCGCACGAAAAAAAAATATTCAAAACTTCTCTTTCACATTTTTTTTTCACCTGTCGTTTGAGCGACTCTAGCCTATTTCACGCAATAGCGGAAACATGGTGCTGAATAGGTGAAAACCAAACGAGAATCTCGTTATGCGGCTAAACAGGGCGTATTAACTAACCACAGGGTTTTCAACGCAGTCTCGGAGTGAGAAAAAAAACTCGGGGGTGAAAAAAAATATATAACGCAGAGGGAGAGAGAGTGCACACGTGGAAAAAAGGGAGGTGGGTGAAGCGGCGAGGGGAGAGGGGGGGGG